CCTGATATGGCATTTCCTCGTATGAATAATATAAGTTTTTGGTTATTACCTCCAGCTTTATTATTATTAGTTTCATCAGCTATTGTAGAATCTGGTGCTGGTACTGGTTGGACTGTTTATCCCCCATTATCTAGTGTACAAGCACATTCAGGTCCTTCTGTAGATTTAGCGATTTTTAGTTTACATTTATCAGGTATTTCTTCTTTATTAGGTGCTATTAATTTTATTTCAACTATTTATAATATGAGAGCTCCTGGTTTAAGTTTTCATAGATTACCTTTATTCGTATGGTCTATATTAATTACTGCATTTCTTTTATTATTAACTTTACCTGTATTAGCTGGAGCAATTACTATGTTATTAACAGATAGAAATTTAAATACTTCTTTTTATGATCCATCTGGTGGAGGTGATCCAGTATTATATCAACATTTATTTTGGTTTTTTGGTCATCCAGAAGTTTATGTATTAATTTTACCAGCATTTGGTATTATTAGTCAAGTTTCTGCTGCTTTTGCTAAAAAAAATGTATTCGGTTATTTAGGAATGGTTTATGCAATGTTATCTATTGGTTTATTAGGTTCAATTGTATGGGCACATCATATGTTTACAGTTGGTTTAGATGTAGATACAAGAGCTTATTTTTCTGCAGCTACTATGATTATTGCGGTACCAACAGGTATTAAAATATTTAGTTGGTTAGCAACCTTATGGGGTGGTTCTTTAAAATTTGAAACACCATTATTATTTGTTTTAGGTTTTATTTTATTATTTGTTATGGGTGGAGTAACTGGTGTAGCTATGTCTAATTCAGGTTTAGATATTGCATTACATGATACTTATTATATTGTAGGACACTTCCATTATGTTTTATCTATGGGTGCTGTTTTTGGTATATTTACTGGATTTTATTTTTGGATTGGAAAAATTTCTGGTCGTAGATATCCAGAAGTTTTAGGTCAAATTCATTTTTGGTTATTCTTTATTGGAGTAAATGTTACTTTTTTTCCAATGCATTTTTTAGGTTTAGCAGGTATGCCTAGA